TTTCCATCATTTACACTTTCAAAATAACAGAAAACAAAAAAATGGCGTCTGCAAAAGTTTGGGCACCCTGCAGAGTTAATATCTTGTACTGCCCCCTTTGGCAAGTATCACAGCTTGTAAAACACTTTTTGTAGCCAGCCAAGAGTCTTTCAATTCTTGTTTGAGGTATCTTTGCCCATTCTTCCTTACAAAAGTCTTCCAGTTCTTTGAGATTTCTGGGCTGTCTGTCACGCACAGATGGCATCAAGTTACCGTCCAAAATTTGCTGACATTTTATTGAATCCATTTTTCCTTCTACTTGTGAGATGTTCCCTGTGCCACTGGCTGCAACACAACCCCAAAGCATGATTGATCCAACCCCTATCTATCTATCTATCTCATCATCCATTATCTATCTATCTATCTATCTATTTATCTCATCATCCATTATCTATCTATCCATCTATCTATCTATCTATCTATCTATCTATCTATCTATTTCATTATATTTATTTATCTCATATCTATCTATCTATCTATCTATCTATCTATCTATCTATCTATCTATCTATCTATCTATCCATCCATCTATCTATCTATTTCATTATATGTATTGTATTTATCATATCTATCTATCTATCTATCTATCTATCTATCTATCTATCTATCTATCTATCTATCTATCTATCTATCCATCCATCCATCTATCTATTTCATTATATGTATTTATCTCATATCTATCTATCTATCTATCTATCTATCTATCTATCTATCTATCTATCTATCTATCTATCTATCCATCCATCTATCTATCTATTTCATTATATGTATTTATCTCATATCTATCTATCTATCTATCTATCTATCTATCTATCTATCTACCTATCTATCTCATCATCTATTATCTATCTATCTATCTATCTATCTATCTATCTATCTATCTATCTATCTATCTATCGTAGATATACATACACAATAGATAACATCATCTATACAGGGTGGACTGAAAACTCTTTCTCTGTAGTTATATTTTGCAGGAAATGGTAGATTTAGGCTTCAGTATTGGTGAGTATTGATCACAGTCATTTACTGCGAATAGGTAAAATAAACAGGAATGTGACCTAGATACAGAGCACAGTTTGATATTAGCCATGTGAGCAGACGCAGGATACATAGGGAGGGTGAAGGGAAAGGATACAGAAACATCTTACAAAGATGTTTCTGTCTTCCCATCGCTTTCACTTGTAAACTACCAAAAAATAAAAGTTAGGCCTCATTCACACTGGCACTCCTGAGTTTAGCTTTTTCTAAAGGCAGAAGAAATCATCTGGAAAGTATGGACAATTTCTATGCCTCCCAAATAACTTTTTCCTGCTTTTAGATTTTCCTGCTTAATCATTTAATCAGCTTAATTAACCAGTTGCCCTCTGCCCTATAGCAGAAGTACTGCTACAGGGCGGAAGGGATACCCAAAATTCACATATATGTACGTGATTTGCATTTCTGGGTTAGGAGGTGCACGCACGGACGCGCAGTACCTGCTCCGCTATTGGCTGATGTCAATCAATGGGTCCTGGCCGGGACTTGGTGATTGTCGTTTACATCTTGTGGTAATCAAGGGGTTAAGTGTGTGCCTAACAATGTATATGATTCTTTTTACTAAAAATCTCTCTGTGCATTGCTGGGGGGAAGCCCTGAAGTGGTTAATATTTGGGTGCCAACAGGGCCACCTACAGATCAAATTGTTGCCAGCAAAGCAGGGATTTGCTGAAATTAAGATTGTGAATGGCTAGTTTAAGAGAGAAGAATGGTGGGATGGGTAGCATGACAGTGGGAATAATATTTCCTTTTTTATAGTTTTATAGTTAGTCTGGCTGAAAAAGGCAAAAGTCCATCCAGTTCAACCATTAAAAAAAAAAAGTTATACTCCTATACCCACAGCTGATCCAAAGGAAGGCAAAAAAACCCAGAAAAGCATGATCCAATTTGCTCCTGCAGGGAAAAAATTCCTCCCTGATCCCCCGAGAGGCAATCAGATATTCCCTGGATCAACTTTACCTATAAATGTTATATCCAGTTATATTCTGTGTATCTAGGAAAGAATCCAGGCCTTTTTTGAAGCAATCCACTGAGCTGGCCAGAACCAACTCGAGGGAGTCTATTCCACATTTTCACAGCTCTCACTGTAAAGAAACCTTTCCGTGTTTGGAGATTAAATTTCTTTTCCTAATTTTTTGCAGGGGATTGTTTTCTAAATTATAATATTGCCTTTGTACCAATTTTTAAGTGTTAATTTTGCTGAAGATGAAGTTGAATTTGATTATATTTTGCGTTCCCTGCCCCCCCCAGTCAACATTGTATTTATTTATTTAAAAAAAAATGTTTGTTTCCTTTACATACCTTTTTTAATCCCAATGACATCATCACTGGGTCCCTTTGTTTTACTATGAATTGCGGGTCGTGGCTGGTGGGAGGGGCTGGCAGGGTGCCGTATGTGTAGCTTTCTGAAAATATGACAGCACCCTGCCCCTGTACTGCTCTGAATGCCCTCCGTAATGATGCAAACATTGGGCTGATTCCAAGCAGTCATGTATATATAGCAGGTCATCCAACATGTCCAAACACCATCCCATGACAGTCTGTCTGCTGTGGGGAGCTGCTTGGACATGCTGGATGACCTGCGATAATACACAACTGACTATGTGCTCAGATTACCATGGACCCCTTATGGGTGGCATTATACCAATATTTGACTGTTAGAAAAATGGGGGAGTCATCCTTTTGGAGATTAGAATAATACAGAGCTGTGAGTATGTGACAGCGTCCCTTGGTGGGGCTTTGTTGTTCTTTAGCCTTTTACCACTCCTTTGTGGCGCCCATTTAGAAAAGATGATCTGCAATCATTTTGTCTCAGCAGACCATGCATTTCCTTGATTTTAGGAGATTGAGTTCCATTATATTCATGCTATTCATGTGTATTTCTGGAGGAGATCATTTGAAACCTGTTGAGCCCACAAGTGGATTGTTGGATGAAAAAAATGTGAAATGTGTGAACCCTTTATTGAGCATGGGGCTTCATTCACAAAAGCTTTTTTCTCATTCGGCATTTAGGTGTCCAGACACATTCAGCATTTCAGACTCCCTTCTGGTGTCCATGCAGAAGGGAGTCTGACAGCATTAAATAAACTCCATTAAAATAGCACATGCGATCTGCAACTGTCAACTAACTGCACCGTTTTGCGTTATTTACTGCAAAACGCTGAAACCGCTCAGTAGGTACCGCATAAAAAGGCATGAGCCTAGGTTCACACTACAGCGGTGCGGTAAATCCCGTGTGATTCGCAAAGGAACCGCATCGCATTCCTGTACAAATCACATGTGATTTGTATGCGGTGCGATTGGAGCCATACATTTTGTACCAAAAACACGCAGGACCCTTTTTGGGTACGCACTAGAATCGGATCGCATGGGTATTCACACCGATGTGATCCGATTCTGCACATCGCACCGCGTTTTGTGGACCGATGTCAGGGTGTTGTTAACTTAACATACACACCTGCAGCGGTTTGAACGGGGTGCGATGTGCAGAATTCACACATAGGTGTGAATACCCATGCGATCCGATTCTAGTGCAGACGCAAAAAGGGTATTGTGATGCGGTGCAGAATTCGCACAGAAAACACTGTGAATTCCGCACCTTATCAGTGTGAACCATCTATTAAGCTCAATTCACAGAAGGAAATAAATAATTAAATATGCATGTGGTAATTAAGTAGTGGTCCAGGCATGTGGTATTTGAGGAATGTGTATGAGTTTAACTGGTTGTTAAGGAGCAGCCGCATCCTTAACAACTGATGAGTCATCAGCTGTCAGCTGAATGTAAAGAAAAGAATTTCTGGCATTTAAAAATTGCTGCAAAAAATGGCATGTGCCCCCCCCCCCCCCAGTCTGTACCAGGCCCCTTGGGTCTGGTATGGAATTTTAAGAGGAACTCCAGAATTAAAAAACAAATGCGTGACTTGTCCCGCAAAGTCCATACCAGACCCTTATCCAAGCATGCAGCCCGGCAGGCCAGGAAAAGGGGGAGACAAGTGAACCCCCTGTCCTTTTTAATTTTGGCGTGGAGTACTCCTTAAAATCCATACCAGACCATAAGGGCCTGGTACCAATTGGGGGGGACTCCCATGCTGTTTTTTTCTGTAATTTTTAATTGCCGTTGCAATTGTTTTGATTACATTCAGCTGTCAGCGGGGACCCCCTGACAGCTGACAACTCATCGGTTGTTAAGGACGCGTTTGCTGCTCCCGCTCCTTAACAACCATGACAGTTACTGGTTGACAAGGACGCTGGAGGCTGTCTGCTCCTTCACAATGCAGTATTTACTACTGTTAATTAAATTACCACATTTTCACTTCTATAATACTGCATTACTTCATAAAATAACTCATGTGGTATTTTAGTAGCTTTTTTCAGTGAATTAAAAAAAAACCTTGTTGAAAAACGCTATGCAGTATCTTACCACTTACTTGGATGCGGTAAGATACCACTTTGTGAATGGAGCCCCCTGTGTTATATGTGGTGTTAAGAATTTTTTTTATAATTCTGTGCCTTTATATAATCGTTGATGGGGTATCACTATCTTTATACCTTTTAAAGTCCATGGCTACAATTATTTTGGTGTTCTAGGTACAAAATTATAGGATGTGGACATATAGGACACAGACACCTCTATCAAGACGTTTTTTTTGAGGAGGAAAGGGCTAGAAGATTCTGGGCATCCCCCAGGCAGGAAAAGAGGTGGATTCTATCTGATTTGCTAATGCACACTGTGAGAAGCCCACAGTGTGCAAGGAAATCAGATCAAGCATCTTCAGAACAGGAGAGGAGCCTGTAGAACTGTGCAAGGCTAATGCAGGCCATACATGGGTCGAATTCTGAATGACTTTTCGCCCGAAAATTGAAAACGTTGTTTGCTCATTAATTCGATGGTGCCATCAATGCAGAGGCAGACTGACAACTCATGGGGCCCCCGGGAAATAGGGGATCAAGGGGCCCCTGTGTCCTTGCCCAAACTCAAAAAAGCCTATGAAAAAGGTACCAGGGGCATCTCATGGGGCCCCCTACTGACCCCGGGCCCTCGGGCAGTTTCCAAATGGTCAGTCCGCCCCTGCATCAATGATTTAGAAAAGCGGCCAACCAAGTTATAACGTTCACCCCATATAACAGGCTCATGCGCATATTCCAGGTCACGGCTCATGCGCATATTCTTTTCGGAAAAACGATCGTATGATTTGACCATCATTGAGTCGAAAATCGGTTGTTTTTCACAAATTTTCCAACATACCCGAAAAGGGGAGGAACCACGAAAATCGGACAGTGCCATTGACTCACTAACAGAGTGAAAATCGGACGATTATTCTTAGGTCCAATTTTCGGATGAAAAATAGGTTAAATTTTGACCCATGTATGGCCGGCATAAGGGCTAGGCTGGAGATTAGCTTTATTGCCTCTGGTATGAATAGGGTACCATGTATGCTCTTTGTAGCAACTTACTACAAAGACAACTCTTTTTCATTGGCAGTTCCTTTGGCAGTCGCTGTGTTCAGTCTACATCATGCTAAGCTGTTTCTTGGCATTGAAACCACAGACATGTGAATGATTCAGCCTTGTTTGTGTCTCTTCAGGTTCGAGCCAGCGCCATCGCTCAGGATGCGGACCAGAACTACGACTACGCCAGCAACAGTGTGGTCCTACATCTAGAGCCGGGTGACGAGGTCTATATCAAGCTGGATGGTGGCAAAGCTCATGGGGGCAATAACAACAAATATAGCACATTCTCTGGATTTATCATCTATGCCGACTGAGGATACCTCAATTTCTGGAATAAACTATTTGACTTTACCTTCTGCAGCCCTATTGTCATGAACTTCGCGGGCTGCTGACTATAGTGGCGAAAAAAGACGCTTAATCAATATGGGGACCATGCGCACTCTGGAGATCCACTGCTACCTGAGTAACGCCTCGAAAGACATCAAAATATCCAATCCAATATATCCATATATGTCGTACAAGTTACACAGATGTGTCACCCTCCCTTACCGCCAAAGCCAAATTTCCTTGTCTGTGCCTGTGTGAATGAAATCCTACACAATAAAATGTTTGTATTAAAAAAAAAAGCCAAAAAAAAAAATCCCCAAGTATATATCAATCTATATCCTATATCTTTGCTGTTATAGCCATCTGTCAGCTTTGAACTCTCTGACCTGCCTGCCATTGGTAATGCTTGGAATGGACTAAGGTCTATGGTGGAAGAATGGTCTTCCGGCTCTGTTCTGCAATAATAAGAGATTCTGGATGGAGGTGTGTTAGCTTCAGAGACTATGCCTAATATAGGCACAGTGACAACTCTGAATAATGGTGGTAAAAAAAAAAAAGTTGGTGTATTGGTTGCATAAAACCATGAAACTATTGTATATTCTGCCAAACTTATTTTAAAATGCATATATAAATGAAATTAAAAGTGGCTAAATTTGTTCATATAAAGTTTATATTTAATACCGAATAAGTACATTGTATTTTATTCTGTTGTTCAGATTTAATTTCTGCGGTTGTAATCACAGACCTGTTACATCTGTATCTCTAATCAGGCACTTTTCATGCTAGGAATATGCACATTAAGGGGTCTTTTTATAAAACATTTGTTGGATGAATGTCACAAGCATTTTTCCCGCATTTTCTGTAATTGATTAATTCCTATGATCATCAGTTCCATCAGCTCCCATCCCTGACTCCAGGACTTCTCCAGGGCTTCCCCCATCCTCTGGAACTCACTACCCCAATCCATCAGACTGTCATCTACCTGTCTCACCTTTAGGCGCACCCTGAAAACCCATCTCTTCAGGGAAGCCTACTCCGCCCTCACCTAACTGCCGATCTCCTCCACTCCTCCTACCACTCCATCCCCCACAGCCACTTCCTCCTGTACCACTATCCCCTTTCTCCTAGATTGTACTGTCTCCCACTATAATGTACAGTGCTGAGCAGACTTTTTGGTGCTATATAAATACTGTATCATAATAATAATAATAGTGACCAAAATGTGATAAAGTTTTCTAAAATCCCTCAATGAGAAAATATACCTCATTTTGGCCACTAGGTAGCGATGATGATCATAGGTATTATTCTATTGCAGGAAATACGACTTTTTTTTGTTACCCTGCCATCACAATGCCAAGTGTGGTCATACACAAGGTGCATCCAGTGTTTCAATAATCTTTGTTTATCTAGATCACAGGTGTCAAACTGGTGGCCCTCCAGCTGTGGCCAAACTACAAGTCCCATGAGGCATTGCAAGATTGAAAGTTACAAGCGTGACTCCCAAAGGCAGAGCCATGATGGGACTTGTAGTTTCGCAACAGCTGGAGGGCTGGTAGTTTGACACCCCTGATCTAGGTGGTCTAGACAGATCTTGCTAGGATCCTCCTGTATGGACACGTCACACCCCATGAATTTCAATTTGTTTTGTTTTTTTAATTATTGGATTCCCCCTCCCTGTATAAAAAATATTTCCAATCTCTACTTACCCTCTCCAGGCTCCAGTGCTGTCTCTGACTTCCCCCTGGTTCCAGTATTGGCAGTCCTCTTCAAGTAGATCGACACTTAAGTCATTCTGACCACATCCTGTGAGCCCAGCCTGATGTTCTTACTCCCTTCTTCAGGGTACATCATCATGTAGACTGGGCTAACATTACTCCAGTACTGGGCAGTGCTCACCCAACAAAAAACGGCAACTGTAGAGGTTTTTGGGTGGTGGGGGGAGATGGATAGTAAGAGGTTGGTCAGAAAGCTGGAGTTCTGCTTTTACCCCATTCATTGAGTGGAATGTGTCAGCAGGAACTCTAAGAACTAAGGTTTCTTCACTGGAGCTCCTGAGAAATATTAGAAGTGGTTGAGTCATTCAATCTGCCACTTTCTACTTATGGCTGAAATGCCTATTTTCAAGAAGTTAATCAGTTAATTCCCATCTGTACTTTAAATCAAGGCATGCAGCTACATTGACAGCTGAAATATGCATAGTATGTATGTACTGCCAGTGTTCTAATCCACAAGCTGACAAACATAGCCAAGACCTGACCATTCACCCTTTTCTTCTACAGTCATAGCAGTACAGGTCAGTCAAGTCTAATTAATGGGGAGGGAGCAATGGCTCACTGATGAGGTCATGATCTGTCCTCCAATCAGCAAGCTTCATTTGTTAGATTCACAGAAATCTGAAGTTAAGTCTTACTGACTCAGGGTGCTACACTATTCTCTCCAAGTCTGAATTAATAATGTAGGAAGTGCTCCCCTGATTGGCTTTTGTCTATCCTAGGGCAGAGGTGTGTAGTACATTTCTCATCATTAGAGGGGGAAGTGCACAGGGTAGGCCTCACTCTGGAGGATAAATCGGAACAGTTTGACCTTAAAGTGGAAGGCAAGTCAAAACCTAACTAAACTTAAATCTGCTCCTACCCCCATTCTTAACATATTCTATCTGCCCCATAATAGGAAAGCTGTCTATACTTACTTATTCTGAAGTCGCTACGGTCATATGATCTCTCCAGCGCTGGCTTCAGTGTCAAGGAGAGATCACCAACAATGGCTGCAGAGCCTGTGTAGTGGCGTCACCCATTACTATGGGGCATCTATTGTCTGCTGTTCCTCCTCTACACTGAAGCTGGCACTGGGACCAGACCGCAGCAACTTCAGAATAGGTAAGTATAGGCATCTTTCCTTTCACAGGGTAAATAGAATAGGTTTAGAATGAGGGTGGGAGTAGATTTAAGTTTAGTTAGGTTTTGACTTGCCTTCTACTTTAAACGTCTATTTAGGGCTCATGCAGACGATTTTCTTGCGTTTGACCTCCATCAGATTCAAGTCTGAAGATTCCCATATATTTCAATGGTAAAACATGGATAACAGTTGTCAGGCTGAAACTGACCTCTATTGTGTTGCATATCTTTGGACACAGCAGGTCCTTTTAGATGCATTTGCATTATAAATAGAGCAGATGTAATGCAGTCTTTAGCTGTGGTTTGCATTAGAATGTGTGCATTTTGGCATCACTATGTTTGAGTGCAAAAGGCAGCATTTCACAACATTGCTAGTCTACACAAACCGTCACCTGGATGGTGGGGAAGGTTTTAAATAATGATAGGGAGTGTACAAGGGTGGGTGGTAGAAAAAACGCAGTACTTGTAAATTATGCACCTATGAGATAAGCATGGTGGAGATAAGGATGGTTCTGGTGGATGGTTAATGTCTACATAGAAGCTGTCATCTTTTGTAATACAATTGAAGTTTTGTTAGCTTGTTGGCTTGTGTAGATGACCATTCATGTCACACAGCCATTTCTATTCGAATGTATGTGTTCAAAAGCGTTTGACAAGAAAAGATGTCAATAACCTGCAATCCGAACACACCTCAATAGAACATGCTGCGTCCAAAGGAACACAACACAAAACATTGCCTCTGAAATGTCATCCACATTACTCCATTGAAAGCAAAGATAATCTGCTGACCTTCATTTGACGTGCGTTTCAACACCACTGTTATTATTCTTCACTTTTTCAGATGCTATTTCAGATGTTGTCTGATTGTGATTAGCAGACCAATTAGTCAATGGTGTAACTATAGCTATAGCAGCCCATGTGGCTTCTATGGGGTCTAGGGGTAGGAGAGGGCCCCATAGAAGCTACATGGGCTGCTATGGCTATAGTTACACCATTGACTAATTGGTCTGCTGATCACAATCAAACTTGGGAGATCCAGTACTGTATCATATTCCATGATCCTCCGAAGTGCCCACTTCAGATGAGATGACTGTGAGATGTGCAGGAGGAGTCATTTGGGATCATGCTGTCTGCTAGTCACAAACCCCTTTGCTTCCCCTTATCTGTAAGCAGATGTATTGTATTCAGAGCCTTCTGGCTAATTCACTAATACAACCCCGGTATACCTAACAAAGTATTTCAGAAGCTAAAAAATCCCAGAGCATCTCCTAAACTGAAAAGTAATTTGAGATTTGGAATTCTCTCTAGGAAAAAAGATCAGGCTGGACATGGACTTTAAGGCCACTTGTCCCAAATGACACTGCCACGTGCCACACAGAGGTGTCACTGGAGGCTCCATCAAAATTGATGAGGGCAGGATTAGCATCAT